ACATCCCAAGAATATTGCTGAACTGAAACAGTTCTGTAAAGAGGAATGGTCAAGAATTACTCCTGACCGTTGTGCACGTCTGATCTGCAACTACAGGAAACGTTTGGTTGAAGTTATTGCTGGCAAAGGAGGTTCAACCAGTTATTAAATCCAAGGGTTCACATACTTTTTCCACCTGCACTGTGAATGTTTACCTGGTGTGTTCAATAAAAACATGCCAACATTTCATTCTTTGTGTGTTATTTGTTTAAGCAGACTGTCTATTGTTGTGACTTAGATGATGATCAGATCACATTTTATGACCAATTTGTGCAGAAATCCATATCATTCCAAAGGGTTCACATACTTTTTCTTGCAACTGTATATTTTATTTCTTTAATGTTTTTTAAGATGATCAAATTACTCTTGACATCAAATTACCCTATAACATACCTAGTGTTTGAATGTGGCTTGAAAAATGTTTGATGATAAAATTGACTATTCAAAGAAAAAAAATATACCCAACATCAACTTGTCACTATTATTTTTGATTTAAAGGGACTCTCCAGGCAGAGGATTTTACTCACCTGGTTCGCCGCACATGCGCACATACTTCATAGGGCGGCATTCATGCCGCCCTCTGAAGTCCTGAGCGCACTACCGTGCATGCGCGCGGTGTGCGCGGCCGCGAGCTGAGATGACTGACAGCTCAGCTCGCGGTCTTTGCCCGCCCCCTCTCCTCTGCTGACAGGCAGGAGAAAGAAGGCGCACACACAGTGCCTTCTCTCTCCTGCACACGTCAGATGTATTTTAATACGTCTGACATGTACAAGGCCTTTTTAGGGCCCTACATGATAGGAAGTCCCACTGGTGGCCGTCTAAGTGTTTACATTAGATTGCCTGCAGGGAGCTATAGATCTCACGTGAACAACCTCATTAAGCTGTAGTTGTTCAGGTGACTATAGTGTGTTAATAGATTGTTCATTTTATTTTTTTATTTTCTCTAGTAATGATCCCTCATGCCACAAGATGTCACTAGTGTGTTTTTTTGTTGCTTTGCGCTGTAGATCAACCTTGCTCTAGTCCAGGGGTAGGCAACCTTTTAGCAGCACTGTGCCGAAATAGAATTGTGATGTACCGTAGTGTGCCGGTCCTATTTTTTTTTTTTAAATTGAGGTGTGTATGTTGCCGTATTGTGCTTGTGTTATTTACACTGCAGTATCGTTGTATTTGTGCAAATATGAGCTATTATATTGTATATGTTCATGAGTAGTTTGTGGTATCGTGTATGATACCTATGAATGTGGGTTGTGTATGGGGGCTGCTTGTGGAATTGTGTGTGTGGGGTTATGTCACATTGTGTGTTTGGTGTGTGTGTGTATGTGTGGGACTGCTTGTGATTTTGCATGTGAGAGGCTACGTGTGGGATTGTGTGCATGTATGTGGATTTTTAGTGGTGTTACGTTTGTGTGGATTGTGTGTATGTGTGTGTATGGGCTGTTTGTATTATTTGTATGAGGAGAGAGTTATTCTGCAGCTCTGTGTATATCTAGAAGTGTGGGTGGCTTCCCTGGGACCAGGCTGGCCAGGTGCAGGTCAAAGACAGGAGCTGCAACAGCAGCTGCGGGCTGCTCTACTGCAGTGTTGATTCCCATTCACAAGTGCTGGAATGAAATGAACTGAGATCACTTACACTATGTGCTGCAATGCATAATTTGAGGATTGTCCTTCACCACCATTTCATATTAGCAGAAATCTGAGGTTTCACTGGGACACCTGATAGGCCAGAGCCTGTTTGGCTTTTGTAGCCTTGGGTGCCGTGCAAAGACACCTCCAGTGCCGTGTTCCACATGAATAGCATATTGACCACAACTTTCAATTCAAAACTATTTCTCAATGTAATAATACTTTCTATAAGTATTGAAAGGATTTTTTTTTTTAAATGAAGTAAATGTGAAACAGATGAGAAATAAAACACATTCCCTCCTTAAGTACAAGCATGTCATACTCAAAGGCTAAAGTGGGCCAAATAAACAAGGTTTACGTTTATGTGGGCCGCAAAAAAACAAAAATGTCATTTTTCATAGAAACGTAGGTTTATTTAGAAAAGTACAGTATAAAAAAGGCTGCCTAACTGACACTGGACGTCCTCGCTTGTAGTGCTTCAAAGTAAACAAAAGAGCGAATTTATTTTAAGGAGACGTGCATTTGCATATAACCAATTTTTCAGTCCAACTACCTTGACATATTAAGAAATGTTTGGTAATGGGACTGAAATGGTGAATGTATGCTGTTGCACAGCTGTAAAAAAACAAATTATGTTATCTTGTTTATTTTTAAGGTCTATGAGTGTGTTCTTCACTTTGGCTGAGATCATCAAACTTGATGATTTCAGCCACCCCAATGCTTTCCAATCGTACAGCTCCTCCATGCAGACCCAATCTAATACACTGCCACCTCCCCCCATTCTAATACACTGCCCCCATTCTAATACACTGCCCCCCTCCCTCCACTCTTATACACTGCCCCTTCACCCAATCTAATACATTGCCCATCCTCTCTCCACGCTAACTGAATAGACTGCCCCCGCTCCACTTTAATACACTTCCCTCCCTATCCCTCATTTAATACACTAGCCCCCTCCCTCCAATAAATAAATACACTAGCCCCCTGACTCAGGGACATATTAGCCGCGAGGCAAACAAGGCATTTGCCTTGGGCGGCATTTTTCAGGGGACGTCATATCCCGGCTCCCAGCCTCACTCTGCAGCCGACGCGCGAGGGAGCTGAGCAGTCAGCTCATGGGAAGTGCTCCCTCGCCGGCCGCCCGCGCGCCCGACCTGCCAGCGCCGCCCGCCCTGCAGCCACTGGACCACCAGGGAGAGAGACCCCCCCCCCAGCACTCCCAAAGGTAAGGAGGTTGGGGGGGGATTTAAATTAAAAAAAAAGTTAATGTGTGTGTGTTTGTGTGTGTGTGTGTTTGTGTCTGACTGTGTGTGTGTGTGTGTGTGTTTGTATCTGACTGTGTGTGTGTGTGTCTGACTGTGTGTGTGTTTGTGTCTGTGTGTGTGTTTGTGTCTGTGTATGTGTCTGACTGTGTGTGTGTGTGTGTGTTTGTGTCTGACTGTGTTTGTGTCTGTGTATATGTCTGACTGTGTGTGTGTGTATGTGACTGTGTGTGTGTGTCTGTGTGTGTCTGTGTGTGTTTGTGTATGTTTGTGTGTGTGTTTGTGTCTGACTGTGTGTGTGTGTTTGTGTCTGACTGTGTATGTGTGTGTGTCTGTGTGTGTGTGTGTGTGTCTGACTGTGTGTGTATTTGTGTCTGACTGTGTATGTGTGTGTGTGTGTCTGACTGTGTGTGTGTGTGTGTGTTTGTGTCGATATTTGTGTCTGTGTATGTGTCTGACTGTGTGTGTGTGTGTTTGTGTATGTATCTGAGTTTTGTGTGGGTGCCCTCCCCCCACCACCTGAGTTTTGTCCTGCCTCTCTTAAATTAATACACTGCTCCCCAACTGCCAATTTAACACACTGCCCTCCCCCCACCACTCTAATACATTGGCCCCCCTCCCTCATATTAATACACTGGCCCCCTACCTCCCCAAATTAATATACTGTCCCCCTCCCTCCTTAAATGAATAGAGTGCATACACTAACACAACACACACTGCATACACTAATACAACACACACTGCATACACTGACACAACACACACTGCATACACTAATACAACACACACACTGCATAGACTAACACAACACACACACTGCATACACTAATACAACACACACACTGCATACACTGACACAACACATACTGCATACACTGCCACAACACACACTGCATACACTAATACAACAAACACAATGCATAGACTAACACAACACGCTCATTTCCAGCGACAAGAGCTCGGAGACGGCGAGCAGCTCAGTAATCCCACAAACCGCCCAGCACGCGAGAAACCATGTCTAAGGGACCAGCAGTTGGTATTGATCTTGGCACCACCTTTTCTTGTGTGGGAGTCTTCCAACATGGCAAAGGTAACCAGATGTTAAGACCTACAGTGGTTATGGTACTGCGGTCTTCTATTCCTTTCCCAATAGGTGAGCATAAGTGATTATAACTGCAGTTAGGAGGTAGAGGAATAGTGTAGATGAATGCAGCTTCCAAGATGATTCTCCCCAGCAAGTAGAATATTCCCCAAACACGAGCCTAGACTTCATGAAGGGTGTAACAGGAATCAATTTTATTGATGCCACACTGGCTTTTATGAGAAATCCTCCTGCAAGAGGACCTCCCACAGTAAACAAAGGCAATAACCAATCAACACACAGATTTACAGTAACCCCCACCCTCTCTCTACCTGGGAGATATTGAGATAAGTTAAGGAATAACCCAATTATCTCCAGGCAGAGGGCATACAATTTTCCCAAAAGTTAGAACACCCCTTTCCACACAAGGTATCCCCACAAATAATTACATATCCCCTGATAGCCCCGATCTGGGGGACCAACATATCCAAATTTCATTCAGATCGGTTCAGGGGTTCTTAAAAAGCATGGAAGTCACAAGTTACCGACCAAACACAAGGCTCCTGCCCAAAACAGTTCCACGAATTCAGTGTGTGCGGTCAGTCAATTCAGAAAAAGGCATAAAACGAATAAAAGTCCCGAATGGATCTTCCTGGCTCATAGGAGCGATTGCTCCCTTTGTCCGGATGAACAAAACTACCGAATGGTGCTCTCCTGGCTATTCGGCAACTAAAGGAAGCAGGCGTTCGGTAGTTTCAGCGGTGGTTCGGGAAGGTCGAGTGTCCGATTTTAGTTCCAGACACTCGACGACCAAGTCCCGCTGCCTCCTTTCGTGCAAACAAGATGGCCGCCATTTTCTGTTCCACGTGGCATTCGGCTATACGAACAGCGGTCGCCCAGAGAGCGCTTAATAGATGGTTCTTTTGAAGTTAATGAGCCAGGAGGGTGGTCGGTGTTCAGTAGTTTTAAACTACTGAACTAATAGATCCAACATGCACAAAATACTGCAGAAAAACCCAAACATAGGAGAAAATACCGAACACAGTCTATTTTCTTCACACCGGACAACACCAAGTTATGTGGCCTTCACAGACACCGAAAGGCTCATTGGAGATGATTCTAAAAATCAGGTTGCAATGAACCCAACAAACACAGTTTTTGATGCCAAGCGTTTGATTGGCCACAGATTTGAGGATACTGTTGTGCAGTCTGACATGAAGCACTGGCCCTTCAATGTTATAGGTGATGGAGGCAGACCAAAGGTCGAGGTGGAATACAAAGGTGAATCCAAATCTTTCTAACCAGAGGAGATCTCTTCCATGGTCTTGGTGAAGATGAAGGAAATTGCTGAGGCTTACTTGGGCAAGACCGTGTGCAATGCAGAAATCACTGTACCAGCTTACTTCAATGACTCTCAGCGTCAAGCTACAAAGGATGCGGGCACAATCTCTGGTCTCAATGTGTTGTGTATAATTAACGAGCCAACTTTTGCAGCCATTGCTTATGGCTTGGATAAGAAAGTTGGAGCAGAGAGAAACGTGCTTATCTTTGATCTTGGTGGTGGAACTTTTGATGTCTCCATCCTGACCATTGAAGATGGTATCTTTGAAGTAAAGTCAACAGCTGGTGACACTCTCTTGGGTGGAGAAGATTTCGATAACCGCATGGTGAATCACTTTTTCGCAGAATTCAAAAGGAAACACAAGAACGACATCATTGAAAATAAGAGAGCTGAACGAGGAAATAAAACTAAAAGAGCCCACATACCTCTGCAACCCTACTGGCAGACTGAGAGAACAAAGCAGACACCCGACTGATGCCCTTTACATTCCACCAGACGGGTCAGAAAGTCTGCCGCAAAGCCAAGGCATACCCAGATTACAGGGCCCTTGAAACGGCGCTATACAGCGCAGCACTCTCCATAACTGCACAGCCAGCAGAGAACAAACACACTGATCCGGACACCATGGGAAGAAGATCCCAGCAGATGGCAGCAGGTGTGTGTAAAGACACCCATGACATTAGCACCATGCTCCAGCGTTCGGCGGGCCCAAAGATGGCGGCCACACCTGACCCAGAGACTAACTCCACACATAGGCATGCGCAGCCTATTGCATTAGGGTGTGCACCCTAAAGCACAAGCACACGCCACGTATATATATGTATGTATGTATATATATGTATATATACACATATATACACACACATACACTGCTGTGTGTGTGTGTGTGCTGTGTGAGGGTGCTTGTAGTGTGCTATGTTGGTGAGGGTGTTTGTGTGTGTGCGCGCTTGTGAGGATGCTGTTAATGTACTGTGTGTGAGGGTGTTGTTTGTGTGTGTGTGCGCTTGTGAGGGTGCTGTTAATGTACTGTGTGTGAGGGTGCTGTTTGTGTGTGAGGGTACTGGTTGTGTGCTGTGTGTGTGTTTGTTAGGGTCCTGTTTGTGTTTGTGAGGGTACTGTTAGTGTCCTGTGTGTGTGTGAGGGTGCTGTTTGTGTGCTGTGTGTGAGGGTGCCGTTTGTGTGCTGTGTGTAAGGGTGCTGTGTGTGTTTGTGAGGGTGCTGTTTGTGAGGGTGCTGTGTATGTGGGTGCTGTATATGTGTGTGGGTGCTGTATGTGTGTTGGTGCTGTGTATGTGTGTGGGTGCTGTATGTGTGTGGGTGCTGTATGTGTGTGGGTGCTGTATGTCTGTGGGTGCTGTATGTGTGTGGTGCTGTGTATGTGTGTGGGTGCTTTATGTGTGTTGGTGCTGTGTATGTCTGTGGGTGCTGTATGTGTGTTGGTGCTGTGTATGTCTGTGGGTGCTGTGTGTGTATGTCTGTGGGTGCTGTATGTGTGTAGGTGCTGTGTGTGCTGTGTGGGGGTGCTGTATGTGTGTTGGTGCTGTGTATGTCTGTGGGTGCTGTATGTGTGTTGGTTCTGTGTATGTGTGTGGGTGCTGTATGTGTGTTGGTGCTGTGTATGTGTGTGGGAGCTGTATGTGTGTAGGTGCTGTATATGTGTGTGGGTGCTGTATGTGAGTAGGTGCTGTGTATGTCTGTGGGTGCTGTATGTGTGTATGTGCTGTGTGTGTCTGTGGGTGCTGTATGTGTGTTGGTGCTGTGTATGTGTGTGGGTGCTGTATGTGTGTAGATGCTGTGTATGTCTATGGGTGCTGTATGTCTGTGGGTGCTGTATGTGTGTAGGTGCTGTGTATGTCTGTGGGTGCTGTATGTGTGTGGGTACATTACTTAATATCCCCCCTCCCTCCTTACTTTATGTAGGGAGGGGGCTTCTTGTTCCTTGCTGCCTTCCCTGGTGGTCCAGTGGAGGTGGGGGCAGATTACTTAATATCCCCCCTCCCTTCTCACCTTATGTAGGGAGGGGGGATTCTTCCTTGCTGCCTTCCCTGGTGGTCCAGTGGTGAGTGAACTCTAGCCTGCGGCAACGCTCAGATCTCGCGAGAGGAACCCGGAGGAGCAGCCGGCAATAGATCCCCGGGTCCTCTCCTGCCTCCCTCCCTGCATGTGGGTCGGTGGGGAGGGAGGCTGAGATCTCCCCTGCCGGTCTCACTCCATAGGCGTGCCACGGGGATTAGGGTGCGCACACCCGGCACACCCCGTGCGCATGCCTATGACTCCACATGCTCGGATCATGCTGAGGGGGATACACTAGACCAACAGCCACCCCATGACATACAGGCTGACCCAGATGCGCTAACACCAGCCACCAGACTGGACATTAAAAACCTCTTACTGGAACTAAAACAAATGTCAGCGGCAGACATGGCCATAATGAAAACGGAGGTCCAAGCGGTCACGGACCACGTGAAATCCACAGAGGAAGATATAAATGACATACAACAAGAAATAAAAGGCCTTAAAGAAACAGTATCACAATTAAAATCCTCTCACTCAACTTTGCTCAGCAAACTAGAGGCGACAGAAGAGAGGAGCCGCAAATGCAATGTGAAAATCAGGGGAATTCCCAACGACATCAGCCAGTCAGAGTTGCCGCATTACCTCAGGCGATTGGTAGCCACCATATTGCCACACGCACAGGCCAAAAAACTGGCCATCGCAGAGATGTTTCGCATCCACAAATCACCACAGGCACCCCCCCCCCCCCAAGCAACCAAGGATGTAATTGTCAGGTGCCACACTCAAGCGGACAGAAACGCCATCTTCGCAGCGCTAAAGGGCAAAACACCACTGGACTTTGAATCCGCAAGTCTTACCTTTTATCAAGACTTCACATGATCCACTCTTCAATGGAGGCGAAACCTACGCCCAGTGACCCGTCGCCTTCAAGTCGCCAAGGTAATCTACCGTTGGACAACACCCAAAACCTTGTCTGTGGATCACAACGGCACTACTCTGCATCTCACCTCCACCCAGGAGGCGGATTCCTTCCTCAAGGCGCTGAAGCTCCCACCGAGACCAAATCCAACTGACGAGCCCACCAGCTCCCATACATGGGACCCCACCAGAACTGTCCCCTTTGTACCGAGGAGAAGGGAAATCCCGATAGCGGACACTTGACGTAAATGACTGCTGCTCAGCCCGCTGACAAAAAGTTACCAGAGTTAACAATAATGTTTTTATTTTACCAGTTCTAAGATTACTTATATCCCAAGGGCTAAGCACCAATTAGGGAACCCAGCAGGGTACACACCCATATAACACTTCCTTATTAAGTTAAAGGGCCACCTCACAGGCGATGACCCACATACCAATAACACCATTACCGGGCACCACAATACCCACAAAAGCCACTGCCAAGCCGGAGCCTGCTCATATACCAATAGTACATCTCCACAACACCCCCAAGGCCCCCTAGGTGAGGCGTCAAGGACCACACACACATCGTACAATCATCTACAAGGCACACAGGACAACTTAAGGATAGAGAGACCTAAGTTCACGCACAATACACCCAGCCACAATGCCCTGGACTAGAGATACATTAGCGAGTAGTGTGGCACGAACCTGTGTCGACAAGGCATCCACTAGGATCCACTTACACGAAATAAGCGACCATAGTACACCAATCAGAGCTGAACATGCTATGTAACACCAAGATAACTACACGTAACTTATCACCTTAGGGGGACCTATGGCGACACAACGATAGATCAAGCAGGATTGTTGTAACATGTAAAATTAACCTTATAAAAAACCTGTGCACTGTGTTTTAATGCCAACTGTTCATCTATGTTATATGCTTGACTACCTGAGAGAGCTGTTGTGGCATCTTCATCACTTGTAATAAGCAATTGCACAACAAAAATAAAGAATAATAAAAAATTTAAAAAACAAGAGAGCTGTTCGCCGTCTCCGCACTGCCTATGAACGCGCAAAGCATACCCTGTCATCAAGCACTCAGGCTAGCATTGAAATTGATTCCCTCTATGAAGGAATTGACTTCTACACCTCCATTACAAGAGCTCTTTTTGAAGAACTTAATGCAGATCTGTTCAGAGGAACCTTGGATCCAGTTCAGAAGTCACTCCGTGATGCCAAACTCGACAAATCACAAATTCATGATATTGTTCTGGTTGGTGGGTCCACTCGTATTCCTAAAATTCAGAAGCTGCTTCAGGACTTCTTCAATGGAAAGGAAATAAATAAGAGCATAAACCCTGATGAAGCTGTTGCCTATGGTGCAGCTGTCCAGGCTGCCATCTTGTCTGGTGACAAGTCAGAAAATGTCCAGGATCTTCTCTTGCTTGACGTTACCCCTCTGTCACTGGGTATTGAGACTGCCGGTGGTGTAATGACCATCCTCATCAAGCGTAATACAACAATCCCCACAAAGCAGACACAGACCTTCACCACATACTCTGACAACCAGCCTGGTGTGCTGATTCAGGTGTATGAAGGTGAGAGGGCCATGACCAAGGATAACAATCTGTTGGGTAAATTTGAGTTAACTGGCATCCCCCCAGCTCCCAGAGGTGTTCCTCAAATTGAAGTAACATTTGATATTGACACGAATGGCATTCTCAATGTGTCTGCTGTGGACTAGAGCACGGGCAAGAAAACAAGATCACAATTACAAATGACAAAGGTTGTCTAAGCAAGGAGGACATTGAGCGTATGGTCCAAGAAGCTGAGAAATACAAGGCTGAAGATGAGAAGCAGAGAGACAAAGTTTCTTCTAAGAACTCCTTGGAGTCCTATGCTTTCAATATGAAAGCAACTGTGGAAGATGAGAAGCTTAAAGGAAAGATCAGTGATGAGGACAAACAGAAGATCATGGATAAATGCAATGAGATAATCTCCTGGCTAGACAAGAATCAGACTGCTGAAAAGGAAGAGTTTGAACATCAGCAGAAGAAACTGGAGAAGGTTTGCAACCCTATTATCACCAAACTGTACCAGGGTGCAGGTGGCATGCCTGGAGGAATGCCTGGTGGTATGCCAGGAGGCTTCCCAGGTGCTGGTGAACACACCGGTGGATCATCTGGACCCACTATTGAAGAGGTGGACTAATCCTAAAATGGAACAACATTCCTCGGGTTTTCTCGTCTCTATTCCTAGGACACTTTGTATTGGCTGTTAATTGGCTGTTAATGAATTAATTCCCATAAGCTGCTGTAAAGTTATTTTCCGGGGCATTGAAGTCACTCCATAATGCAGGCGAAAAGAACACCATTGCACTTACTCACTGTACTGTAAACCTATGGGTCCACACACTGCATACACTAATACAACATACACACTGCATACACTAACACAACACACACACTGCATACAGTAATACAACACACACACTGCATACACTAACACAACACACACACTGCATAGACTAGCACAACACACACACTGCATACACTAATACAACATACACACTGCATACACTAACACAACACACACTGCATCCACTAATACAACACACACACTGCATAGACTAACACAACACACACACTGCATACACTAACACAACACACACTCTGCATACACCAATACAACACACACTCTGCATACACCAATACAAAACACACACTGCATACACCAATACAACACACACACTGCATACACTAATACAACACACACTCTGCATACACTACCCTGACACACACTCTGCATACACTAGTACAACACATACTCTGCATTCACTACACACTAACACACTCTCTACATTCACTACACTAACACACTCTCTGCATTCACTACACATTAACACACTCTCTGCATTCACTGCAATAACACACACTCTGCATTAACTGTACACACAGCATCCACTACACAAACATCCTGTATTCACAGTACACACACTACATCCACCACAAATTGAAACACTCTGTATTCACTATACACAGACACTGCGTCTAATACACACACACTACATCCACTACAGACACTGCATCCACTAAACACATTTCATCTAGTACACACAAACACACACTATATCACTGTACACACCCTACATCCACTACTCAAACACACTCTGCGTTCACTATACACACTGCATCCGCTACACAAACACACTCTGCATTCACTGCACAAACAGTATCTAATACACACAAACACCACATCCATTACACACATTCTAATTAACTTCCACTATACACACCACATTCAGTCCTGCATCATTGTCAGCGGACTAGGTAGGGCGTGGGCGGGCCCGGGGGGAAGGGAAGGGAAGGGGGGCCCAGACCTTGTGCTTTGTCAGGGGCCCCAAAATTTCTAATGGTGGCCCTGCTGCCAGGGACATCATACATATTCAACCGTATGGCCATGTGGCCTTTCCCAAATACTGTGGCCCACTAGGAAACATTGTAGGGCCCATCCAAACCACAGGAACATTTAAAATGTGAGCAAAGCTGAACTTGTTGGACACAAGTCTCTATTCAGCTCTGTAACTATGTAATAGTGCAGGATTAACAGTATACAAATGTTTCTCCTCCCATTTAAATTAACACAAGAAAGGTGTGAGGCTGCAGCCCACAACTCCTGAATGAAAATAGCCTAGGGGTTAGTACACCCCTTGCCACCTGTCCCATGACTGTTGATAAAGAGATGGTACAATGGAGGGAAGAACAAGCATGTGCTGGGCTGGAAAGTCAGGAAAACAAACCTGTTTTCCTAACACTATGTCATCCTTGGGGGACCCTCACCCTCAGGGTCCCCCTTCCATGGTGCTGAAGGGGTTAAAACCCCTTCAGTTGCTTACCTTAATCCAGCACCGGGCTCCCTCGGCTCTGGTGACCTCTCCTCCCCCGGCAACGTCAGCTCCCGAGTGGAACGGAATGCGCATGCTTTCCTATAGACGTTCTGCACACTGGATGCGAATTTCGCATCCAACGTCGCAGAATCGCCTCTAGCGGCTTTCAGGAAGACAGCCACTAGAGGTTGGATTAACCCTGCTATGTAAACATAGCAGTTTCTCTCAAACTGCTATGTTTACATGTGAAGGGTTAAAACCTGAGGGACCTGGCACCCAGACCACTTCATTGAGCTGAAGTGGTCTGGGTGACTATAGTGTCCCTTTAATCATAAGCTTTTTTTTCCTCATTACCTCTGAGGATGTGAACATTACAAGACAAAGTGCTACTATTCTGTCACTTGTAATTTTGAAGTTTAAGGGGGTATCCTGAACCACTGTGTCAGATCCCATCAATCGCCTTAGCCCAATCTCCAAAAGAAAGACATTTTTGTTCAGTGTTGCTTACTTGTACTGCACTACAGGAGTAATCTTATCGTGCACTCTCGTGCTGTTGCTAAAATCCAAATGAGCCTGTAAGTTCTCCTTTCCCATTACTCAGATCACTCACACACCCCAGGGGGCTCCCATTATACATTGTCCACATAGGTAATGTGTTCCTCACACCTCCATTCTGACAGGGCCACCCTGTGATCACAAAGGACAATATCTCATTTCCTGTTCTCCACGGGGGAAGCCCCCAAAAAAAATCACACCAACAAGAAACAAAGTTTAAATAGCTAATTACATAGTTAACATACTGTTTATGATCTGTCATTCACATGTACCAATAACTTGGACAAGAGAGAAAAAAGAAAACATCTTTTTATAAAATAGTAAAAATTTTAAAAAATTAAATTAAAAATAAAGCAAAAACATGAATCAATTTAATTTTAATTTGTTTCCATTATTTCAAGTGTGTTCATATATTTTCCTAAAAAAAGATGTAATATGTTTTATGGCTCTTCATATAGATCCATAATCAGCCTTATGGAACATGTATGGTCTCTGGTTGCTCCTGGGACTCCGTGCTCAACCCCATCATTAGCAGGGATGCCCAAAATGTAGATGCCCTGCCCGGATGTTTTAAAACTACAGCTTCCATGATGCTTTGTCATTCTAAAGGCATGCAAAGGATCATGGGAGTTGCAGTTCTACAACATCTGGGGATGATCTACCTTACTACCTTACTTCAGCAAGTAATACTGACCCATTCCTTCTCCCAGTGTCGCAGTAAGTGCTCAGTAGGAACCACTTAGGGCTTTTTCCCATTATGCACCTGACCAATATCTGATTTGCCGCAAAATTGTGATGTTTTTATGTCATATGAGTGCATGTCAACATACATATGATTTTTAATATGATATTTTAATTGGTTGTGATTGTGCATGGGCAAAAAAATTCGGTTTGGCACTTCTGAAATTCAGGATTCAGTAATTCGGCATTTTCGGCAATTCCGCATTTCAGTTCGTTTTGGCACTTTCAAAATTCATCAATTCGGGATGTCGGCAATTTGGACATTTGGAAGCATCCAAATGTCCAAATTGACGAAATTCGGCTGAATTTACATTCGGAATGAAACTAATTGCACATGTCTATTAAATGGCAGTTCTAGCTTGCCCATTCTGAATCACATAGTGAGTCTACTGTTGGCAGGTGATATTCCCCACCATCTTGCTGAACAATACTGAATAATATAGGTGATGGGTATATGTTATAGGTAATGCCAGCATTTCAGTTGAGGGTGCAGCAAACGTGCTAAATAAAATATTTCTCTCAAATTTCATGGTAGATGAGATAAATCCCAGTTCCTGGTCATAGACACTAACCACCAGCATCTGGTATCATTGCACAATGCAATTTTCTATCCTCACTTTAAATTACAATGGATGGTTTAATGTCTCGTTATGTAGAATGATGATGAGCTGTATTATGGTTTGGGAACTTGTATTTCTTCCCATACTTTTTTTTTTTGGTGTACACAGCCTTAATCATTAAGAAGTAGCCCAGGGCATCATGAGATTATTGGGTTGTGGAAAAGAAGGGATAAACTAGTCACAGGTGCAGTACACACTATTTAGGGAGCTCACTTTGCTAGGTAATCTACTGGTTTGGTCAAAAGAGCTATAAACTTTTTTAAATTTTTTGGTATAATTTGTTTTTTAATAATAATTTTTTATTTGTAGAATATTGATTCTTTTTTTTACATTCTTTATTTTAGCAGTGCAATTAATTACAGGCATGCTTGCGAGGCCATGGCAGCACGGTGTTACATTGGCATGGCATAAAGAGGAGTTGCACATTTTTCTAAAAATAACGAACAAACACGCTAAGCAATTATGTCAACTATTAGGCAATGGATACGTGGAGTGTAGCTATAAAATATTGATTCTCGTATTGATTATTTGAGTTTTTTCTTCTTTGTGTAATCTGATATCTGTGGTAGGGGTATTTGTCTGTTTAATGAAGTATTTTTAAACTGTAATCCCCCTCAGAATAATTTGTATTTTTCATAAATACTGCAGGGAATTGGCTTTGTCAGTGAAAAATCCTGCGCTCTCGAGAGATCCTCCACAGACTACAATGCTGTAATCTCATGCATCGGCGAGAGTACAGCAGTGCCGTCTGCTCCTGGTGTAACGCTGAAGCTGAAGGACCGTCAGAAGAAGATGGCGGTGCACACAAGGGGCAGGTTCAGATAACTTTAACTCACCTTTGCCTGCCCTCCTTCCAGGGCCTTCAGCGGCGATGTCAACATCAAAGGTCTTTGCAAATTATGCTTATTATTTTTAGATTTTATGGAATCTAAAGTAGTTAGGAATAGTTGAGGCAGGCCACATAAGAGAAGGATTTGTAGTGTGTTTCATTAAGGATTGCTTATGACAGAGTTGACATTACCATATCATTGAGTTTATTCACTATATGACAAGGACATGGCAATCTATATGCCAATATAACAAAAGAATTTCTGGTTAATGAAAACGCCAACTGAGAAGAATTGATATATGCTAAAGGGACACTATAATCACCTAGACCATGGGTAGGCAACCTTCGGCACTCCAGATGGTTTGCTCTTACAGCCACAATGCTGGCAAAGCATCAAGGGAGATGTAGTCAACAACATCTGGGGTGCCGAAGGTTGCCTATCCCTGACCTAGACCACTTCATCTCATTGAAGTGGTCTAGGTGTAATGGCCCTATCCTTTTAACTCTGCAAGATAAAAATTGTTCTATCTTACTAACATCCGCTAGAGGTGCTTCCGCTGCACTGACCAAGAAAACACCA